AGAGGGAGATGTTTATTACAAATTATTGTTAGGTTTTTCTAAAAACCCACAGAACTATAAGGAAAATGTCATATGTATATATTATATGTGTGTGTATGTATAAAATTAAAACACAATAGATATGCCTGGAGAAGAAAAAATAAGTAGCACTGCGCAAAGAACACCAACACAGTAATAAAAATAAATGCAAATGATAATGAATTAGAGACATTCAAAGTCTATCTAAACTGACCACAGGCTCTCTTAAAGTTTTCAAAAACCGTTATACAAATAAATGTTCAGTTTCTTTGTTTTTACCAAGAAGAGATGAAACTGCCTTGAGCAATCAGTGCTGGCCACACTGTGGCTTCCTTCTCTCCAGACCCCAGGTGGCAGTACCACCCCAGGCAGAGTCCTTCCCGGAGGCACACCTCTGAGAAAGGGAAACCGAGCTGACTTTTGTCAGAGCACTTTTCTCCCCACCACTGCAAAGGGAGGGAGCCTGGACAGTGACCCAGTCGCCTCGCACACACATGTCAAATAACTCTTATGATACGTGACACTGCTCTTCTAACAGGTGCAAAGATATTTGTGACCCACGTGAAACCTGTTCACAGAGGAAGAACAGCAAGTCCCTGCTATTTTGGGGACAATGACTCTGTCATCCCAAGAAATGCCCAGAAAGGCTTTACGTAGTATCTGTTTGCGTTGAGCCTGAGGGAAGACCACAGGAGGAACAAGCCACCACCTACAAGTGTTCACACCAAGTCACAGACCAGAATCAGGTTTACGGGAGTCAGGGAAGACGTCAGCCATCACCCCAGGAAGCAATCAACACAGACCCAGTGCAAACAGGACCCTGTGTGGTCCTGATGTGAACAACCAGAGGAGGAGACTGCAGCGGGGGCTGGATATGGAGTGAAATTAAGAACCAACCTAACTGTTTAGGTAAGAATGAATCAAAAAAAGACCTTACTTTTCAGATACTGAAAACACATGACATCAGAATTTGCTAAATAACAAGGGGTAGGGGTGCTGATGCACTATGATTGCCACGCACTACACTGGGTAGCCAAGTCTTATCGAACTGCTCTACTTCTGCGTGTGCTGAGATTTTCTCCAATAAAAGGTTAAAATAAAATGGGGGCAGGAGCAGCACATTCCGCACATCCATAAGCCACTGTTTCCTTTTCCTTTTTTCTAAAAAAAGAATTTACTTATTGATCTTTAGACAGAAGGGAGGGAAAGGAGAGGGAGAGAAAACACAATGTGTGTCTGCCTCTCGCACGTGCCCCCACGGGGGGGACTTGGCCCACAACGCAGGCACGTGCCCTCGCTGGGAAAGGAACTGATGACCCTTTGGCTCCCAGGCTGGTGCTCAGTCGTCTGAGCCACACCAGGCAGGGCAGCACCACTGTTTCCTTTTGTGAAACCATCTTGTCAAAAAGGTCACTCACTTCAGAATATCTAACCCTCGCTACCTTAGTAGCAGAGTAAAGGGAGAATGTCCTTGCACTGGTACAACAACTATAAAAATACTCTTCCAAAGTCCTGGGAGCACCAGACAATAGTGTAACACAAGTACACCCTGTTAAGCAAAGAACATAAATGACACTGTTCCCAAATGTGTAAGGCTCTTCACGTTACAAAGGGATAAAATGGGAGGACTGCGGCAGCGGCAGCTCACACTCCTCAGCGGGAAGGTGTTGGCAGGTGAGCACCATGAAAGGGAAAGGACAGACGCTGAGACGCGTTCGGCGTGTCGGCAGGTTTCAGAACAGTGCCTTAGGAGAGGGGCACAGCGGTCCACACTCGGGTGCCAACCCCCCCAGACACTCCCTGGAGCCTGATCTGCCAACCACAGCTGTGCGGTGGAACTACAGGGCTGCCACGCAGGTGGGTTCCAGCCCCTTGGACAGTGGGGAAGAGTGCGCACCTTATGCAGGAGCCCACGGAAGCTGCCAGAACCCCGCTGACACGTGCCGTTCACCAGAGCGACTGAATAGTGAAGGTGCTGACAGGTCGATGACTTGTCCATCTCACAACCTCCACTCGTTCTCCCTTTAGTGAAGCAGCTTCCTGTGGGGTGGATGCCACCTGACCCTCTGTGATGGCCCTTCAGGACAGCAACTCAAGGAGCTGGGGGACACTCAGAGGGCTGAAGGGACAGTGAGGGGACCTGAGTGAGCTAGGGGGACACTGACAGTGCAGACGGGATGCCGAAAGGACACTAGGAGGACTGAAGGGGCTGAGGGGACACTGAGGGGACACCGGGAGGGCTGAGAAGGCTGAGGGGATGCAGGGTGTCCACCCTCCATGGATGCAGTCTGAGTAGGAGAATGCTGTGAAGAGAAGACAAGTGATCCTGATTCAGGACCACTTACAGAGTCCAAGGAGCAAATGTCAAGAAAAAATGCCTACTCCCAAACTTTCCCATCAAAAAAGAGGGATAAGTCTCATTTTTAGGCTTCCCTTAATTTCTGTAATCTCTTCTAATTCTCATCTGGCAACTTTCATGTGAAGAAACAGTTTCAGAAATCAGTCGACACGTACTCACACCTCAGAGCTCTGCTAACCCAGGAAACCCAGGCGAATGCCAGGGCCTGGTTTGATGGTTACAAGACAGACATCAGCATGCCTCCCCCCCCCTTTTCTGAACCCTCTCCTGAGGACGTGCATATTGATTTTAGAGAGAGGAAGAGAGAAAGGCAGAGAACATGGATGCAAGAGAGAAGCATAAGTCAGCTGCCTCTTGTATCTTCCCCAAGCAGGGACCAAACCTGCAATCCAGGTACGTGTCCTGACTGGGAATTGAACCTCATGACCTTCTGGTTTGTGGGATGACACTCCAACCAACTTAGCCACACTGGCCAGGGCCAGCACACCCTTTTTAAAAAGCTCTGTAGAAATAGTACTTATGGAAATGTAAAATCTTTCTTTTTTAAACCTCACTCGAGGATATGTCCATTGATTTTAGAGAGGGGCAGTTAGAGAGAGAGATGCAGAAACATGGATGTGAGAGAGAAATAACCATTGGCTGCCTTCCATATGCACCCTGCCCTGGGAATGAACCCGCACCCCAGGTATAGACCTGACCCGGAACAGAACCCGCAAAATTTTGGTGTGTGAGATGACACTCTCATCAACTGAGCCACCCAGCCAGGGTGAAAATTTACAATCTTCATAAATTTGTACATAGGCATCACATAAATTACAAAGTATTTGTGAAGCACTATGTACACCGATTCTTATCCTCTCATGTCAAGGAAAAGACCAAAAGATATGGGGTGCGCAAGTATTTCTAACCTAAACCCTGGGAAGAGCCTTGTAGTATCCAGCCACTGCTCTCAGATGGACTCCAAGGGTTCTGCAAACCTGCAAGGATGATATGCAAAATTACTTGGGTAGGCACATGTGTGCATGTATTATGGCAGGGACAGGGTGCACACAGGGAGTACCCTGCTGGTCGAATATCCTGCACATATACAAAGGGAACTGAGGACACAAGCCCCACAGCAGGTCATGAGGACTTGGCCAGGTACCAGCCTCCAAAACCCTCCACAGCAGCCTCAGATGCTCGAGAGTTTCTTTCCACTTGCTTTGTTAGATGTCATCATGAGAACAACTGCATAACTTGACATACTGCATATAAAAACATAAACATGCACACACATCCTGACATACAAAGTTCAAAAATCTAAAAAAGAACCAGTCTGTGCCGATTCCTAAGAGCACCTGCTATAGAAAATATATTCTGTTTGGACACAAATCTGATACAACCAAGGCTGCCCACCCTGCACCATCCTCCACCTTCCTACAGTGCAGATACTTCCACCTCAGCCACTGCTGCCTCCTCCAAATCTAGACCGACTACATTCCTGTCACCCCCTGATGCCACAGCTTCCCCATGCCCCTGCCCCCAGGGCCACTGTCAACCCTGTTTCCACAGACCCTGTGAGCTACCAGGAAACCCCTGAGTCCCCGGCCCCCGAGCACTGCCCCTATACCCTCCCATCCTTATGCTTCCCAAGAGTCAGGGTCAACCCTTGCCTAGTCTAAATAGTTGTCTCCACTACTCTTCTGCCCTGCCTCCAAATGGCTTTCAGAACAGATGCTTTGCTGCTGCCTGCTAGATAGGGTCAGGGCCCTGCCCTCCAGGTGCACCCAAGCAGGTCCTGGCATCCTTACTCCCCACTGACCCCCAAGATCCTAATAAGGTGTGATAGGGCCACTGGCACCACAGCAATAACTGCACAGCAGGAGATTTGCGGAAAGAGCAGGATCTGACCCCCTGCATCAAAGCCCCTCTTGGCAAACTCCCAGGGAGGTCTCCATCTGGGTACTGCTCTGGACCCCAAGTCACAACAACAAATAGAGCAGAGGACAGAATGAGCACAACAACCACAGCACACACTGCGGGGAAACAGTGCTGTGAGGTCCAGGGGGGAGGGGCTGGGGGCCATATCGATCGGTTAGACAAAGGCTCATTTAGAGGGCGACGTAATTAAATGAGGAGAGAGCACGAGTTTCCATGCAAGGGACAAGGACACATTCAGAGCAAAGTATATCTGGTTGTCACAGAAACAGCGAGGCAGCATGTGGCCATGAGAATAGGGGAAGGACAGGAGATAGGGTCAGAGGACATGTGTGGTGGGAGTTTGTGGGGAACTATACCCCCAGTCCAGATGACAGGCCCTGAGGTTTTAAGGGGCATCATAGGGTGCACAGGGCAGGGATCGTTGTGCAGAAAAGAGACTGTTGGGGGACTGGTGGCCAGGCTCCTCACATAGGCCCCAGGTCCTCTTTGCAGGTCCAAGGCCTACCCAGCACCTGGCCCCACAGGCTTCACCAATTCTCTGTATGTCTACATGTAGTGAGGTGGTCTGATGAGAAGCCCCAGAGGTATGGCACCCCATGGGGGCCAGAGTCCACTCCTTGGTGGTCCCTGAAGCCTCTGCTGACCAACAAGGGGCCCGCTGCACACTGGGAGCAATGTACTACATGGCTCTCTCCTGTAGTACCTGCTGCTCTGCCTGCTGCCTCTGCATCTCAGCCGCATGCACGTTGCCAAGCTCCTGCAGGGCTGCTTGGTGCTGCTGCTCCAGGCGCAGGACCTCAGCACGCACCTTGTCCAGGGCCACGGTCTTCTCCTCCTCCAGCAGGCGCCTCTGATTAAGCAAAGCTGCAGCCAACTCCTCCTGCCAAGAAAGTCCTCAGTGCACTGCACCCCAAATGCCCCATTTCAGCCCCCTTGTTCCCTAGGACCGAAGGTGCACATCCCACCCTGCATAGGGCAGCACCTGACATAGTCTGCCCCTGGGGCCTGACATGCCCACCTGGCCCACAAACTGGGCATAACAGCCCCATCCAGTATGAGGAGACAAAAACCCATAGTGACAGTATAGTTCTAGGTCAAATACATATGTCCTATTCATGAGACACAGGTGCTAGAAGTGTGCAGGTGACAAAGGTGGGCACCAGTCCATAGTACCTAGGCCTTCCGTAGAAACTCCCATTCATAACAAACTTAAACTCACTGTTCCTGACACATCACAGAGGGTTTAATTTCATGAAGCACCCACAAAGGAGAGCTGAGGCTACACATACACAACAGGAAAACCAAGCTGCCGAGGCCCCCCAGTTCCAGGCTCACAGCAAGGGCCAGCACAGCCAAGAGAAGCACTCTGGCCTGGTGAGATCAAAGGCACACTTCCCAAGGGTCAGAGAGCCCAAGCCTTCCCAAGGAATCTGTGATCATGTAATCAAAGAAACCCTAAAAACTCGCTGTTCTAGCCCTGGCTGGGTACCTCAGTTGTTAGAGAGAGTCATCCCAGTATTCCAAGGTTGCAGGTTCAATCCCCAGACAGGACACATAGAAGAATCAATGAATGCATAAATAAGTGGAACAGTAACTCTGTGTTTCTCTCCCTCTAAAATCAGTAAGTAAAAAATTTTAAGAATATCACTGCTCTAGATCTACCTCAATGAGGAAACTGAAGTTACCACTGACTGGAGCAGCAAGAGACACACAGACAAGTGCCGACGTGGACTTGCACAGATGCGGACACTCTCCGAATGCACACTCGGGGGCACCCAAGAGCGCAGTGCATCACGCAGGCCACAGGAGGAGACCTGTCCTAAGACAGGGCCCGGTCCTCACCTGGTGAGCCTCACGAAGCTCGGCGGCCAGGGCCCTCGAGCGCTCTGTGTGTTGGGTGCTTAGTTCAGTTCTCCAGCTGCCCTTTGCAGACTCAAGCTCTTCGGCATGTTTCCGCTGAAGTTTCTCTAACTCCTGAGTCAAAATGACTTGGTGAGAAGAGTCCTTTTTCTGCAGCTTTTCCTCAAGATCCCCTTGCAACAGCTCCAGGGCCCGCCTGTGCTCATCCCGGAGGGTCTGGATTTCAGACAGGTAACATGACTCCACAGAATCCAGGTGTGACAAATGTCTGGTCTCCAGAGCACAGACTTCAGCAGCGTGTTTTGCCTGCAGTTCAGCCACACGAGCTTCTGAAAGATCCCGCTGCTCCCTCTGGAACACAGCCTTCAATTCTTCAACCTTGGCCTGGTGCTTGGCCTCAAGCTCTGTTGTTAGGGACAGAATGTGCTGCTGGTGTCTCTCCTGAAGGAGCTGGAGCTCCCTGGCGTGCTTCTCCTGGGCTTCCCGCAGGAGAGCATCTTGTTCTGCAGTGAATTTCTCTGTGACCTCCTTACGTTGTTCTAAAAATCTGAGATGACATGCAAAGTGAACAGATAGCAAAACATGCAGTTGTGAAAGCAGCAACTTCTTCACATTTCCTGAAGGAAACACTTCTATTGACAAGGTCGTTATTCACGATCTGCCCGTCCTTACTCTGTCCCCCTCTGCCACAAATGGCCCAAGAGCGCCACCACCATAAGTGGAGTGAAGGGGCCACATGAAGCCAGAGGATTCAGAGGCCAGAGCCCAGGGGTCCCTGGAACAGCTCGAAGTGGAGGACACAGGATCTACAGCAAGAAGCCACATGCACACTCCCAACAGGCACCATGGCAAAGCAGGCATGACTGTCACCTGTGACAGAACGATCTCCACAGGGAAGGGGCAGGAGAACCGCTCACAGGAGCCCACAGGGCCACAGAGAGCATTCTAAGACCTCAGAAACACTCTAAGTTTGTGAACTCAGGGACATGAATTAAAAAAGCCATGGGAGGTACTGGCTGGCAAAAGCAGAGACAAGAAGATGCCTTCTCATTAAAGTGCCCAGAATCCCACCAGGAACAGGGAGGAGCCTGGAACCTCTACCCGTGCAGGTTACGTAAGTGATGTGGTTTGGTGAGTTCACAGAAACAGCAAAAGCTGTGACTGGTTTTACATTGCTGTCTACCAGATTCTGTAAAGGTGTTTCCATGGATTAACCCCATTTAACCTTTGCCACACAGGGAGACTCAGGTTTCATGCCCATGTAGTGCATGGGGATCAAACTCAAGTCCAGAGCAGAAGCTCTTGCACCCTCCTCATGACACTGGTGAGGAGATGACACATGAGAGGCAGAACCAACAGCATGTCCACCAAACCCAGCACTCACAGAAACTGCAGCCATGACAGGCCAGGTTTGCAGAAACAGTGGGCACCAGAGAGAAGAGCCAGATCACATCCTAAATCTATTTAAAACCTCCAGATGTATATATTTTAGTAAACATATTTACTTTTAAAAAATATGTTTAAAGAACACAGAAAGCTCATGTGGGTAAACTGCATGTCCCTATAATAAATGAGGTCTAGGGTTATGCAACTGAAATTTTAAAACATGCAAACAAATAACGAAAATGATGTGAAAGACGCATGTGCTCTAGCACCCATTTAACTCCACCAGAAGGATTTGGACATTGCTTCTGCCTGCACGTCTTATTTCAGAGCTATGTGTCCCATACTCATTGTAAGGTAAAAAACAAGTGTCCAAGATTCAGGATGTCACCGAGAGCCCACAGCACATCTTCTCAGGAGAGGTGCCTCCCACCCTCTGCCAGGTGTCCAGGGTCAGATATCACGTGGGAACCTGGCGGACAGCTCCATACTAATAGACTGATGAAAAAGTGTCACTCACCTGTTTTGGGCCAGCATCAGCTGGAGGTCACAGTCCTCCTTCAAATGAAGTGTAGCATGTTCCTGGTCCTGGTCCCTGGGAGCCAGACCACTGCTTGGCACCTGGCCACAGTGAAGAAACTCGTCCCCAGTGAGGCCCAGTTCCAGCTGCTGCAGGCGGCCCTGCTGCTCCATCAGGGACCCCTCCAGGTCCAAGATCTGGGCCGCCTGCTGATCCTGCAGTTGCTTCATTTCCATTTCTCGGAGCTCGAACTTGTTTATTATTGACTGTTTTTCCAATTCAGCCTGTTCTCTCAGGTCCAGGAGCATGAGAGTTAACTTCTCTTCAGCCCCTCTTCTTAGGGCTTCACTTGCACCTTTCCACTCTGCTTCTCTTTCTTTAAGTTCCTGTTTCATTAGCTCAATCTGATCCTTAGCTTTCCTTAGTTCTTCCTGGTGACCTTCAACTAAATTATGCTTTATCTGTAGATAACAATTATATTTAAGAGGGAAGAAATCAAAGGAAAAAGTTATTGGCAGCAAAAATTCAAATCCATCTCTGAAAACAGAGAAGCTTCTATGACATATAGGCATATATGCTGAGCAGAGCAATAAGACTACTTCTGGTGTTGATGGGAATAGAAGGAACCTGAAATGAACAAACCTAAAACTACTTAAGTAAAAGGTGTCCATATTCTGGCACATGGAACCAACTGTTCTTTATGTCTGGAGAAACTGAACTGAATACAAAGATGAGCTGGAGGCCTTCTCTCTTGCACCATGACCAGCAACAGGGGAAAATCTGACATGCCGTGAGTCTTGTGTCTAGGAAGAGGCCAATGGTTCCGACAGCAAGGAGATAAGAAGTCTAAGGGAGATGAGAGCAGCAGACCGTGTCCTGAGTTCAAGTCTCTGGACTTGCACAATTTATATTCCAAAATATATTGGAACCTGAGCAAGGGACTGGTGAGCTAAAACTACTACTTTTAAAGATATCTTGTCAAATGTAGAATGAATCAGAAAGCTGAAAGTAGGCAAATATCCTAGTTTTTAAAAAAAAGGGAAAGAAAGTAGGTCAACAAACTACTGAACATAACCCAAAACTAAACAAAACCTTAACAGGTATGTAAGACTGACCTCAACTACCTATTTAAAAGTTATTAAAAATAAAGTTCAGGGCCCTGTCCCTGGTGATGGCTCAGAAGTTCTAATTAGACCAACCTTCCCAGAGATAACAACTCTGAACTCTGGATAAAATACAAAAAAATACCCAAAGGCCTGGAGAGTATTATATAAAGGCCTAGAAATTTAAAGCATTGCCAAAAGAAATGGCACTAGGTGACTGACCCATCTGCACTGTGCTCACAGGAAGCCCATCATCTTACTTACTGGTTTGAACAGAACTGGAAAGTTGAGAGAGAAAAGTATATTAGGACAAACCCACAGAAGAGCTGCAAAATCTGAAGAAAAAAAAAAAACAAAAAAGAAAACCCAAAACAAATCCTAAGCTCAGGCTCATGCCTGACCAACACGCGTGTGGGCAGGCTCCCAGGGCAGGCCAGCAAAGACTAAAAGAACGGAACAGTGCACTTCGGTCTGCACAGAGAAGCTGGAGTGTGGAGTCTGACTCTAGCCAGGTTAACTGCTTACTGAGATCTAAATCATTACTCTTCAGAGGAACATAACAGAATCCAGAGTCTCCATAATGTCCAAGATCCAAGCCAAAAATTATTACTATACAAAACAAAAAGGAAATATGACCCATGCTAAGGAGAAAATACAATCAATGCAGAACAACTTCAAGATAACACAAATGTTGAAATTAGCAAACAGAGGTTTTAAAGCAGCTATCATGACTGCATTTATGAATATAAAGGAAAATATGCTCATGATGAATAAAAGAACAGGAAATTGTAGCAAAGAAAAGAAACTATTAAAAACAATGACATGAAAAATCTAGAATTGAAAAACACTACCTAAAATTTTAAATTCAACAGATGGACTTAAAAGCAGATTAGAGATGACAAGAGTCACTAACTTGAAGATGAACAGAATTTAACCAACAAGAAAGGAAAAAGATTAGAAAAAAATGACAAGAACAGAACCTCAGGAACCAAAGACACAGCATTCATATTAATGGAGTTCTAAAAGGAAAGATAAGCCCTGGCTGGTATAGCTCAGTGGTTGAGCTCGGGCCTGCAAACCAAAGGATTGCGGTTCAATTCCCAGTCAGGGCACATGCCTGGGTTGCAGGCCAGTTCCCAGCAGGGGACGCATGAGAGGCAACCATACATTGATATTTCTCTCTTTCTCTCCTTCCCTTCCCCTCTAAAAATAAATAAAATCTTTTAAAAAGGAAAGAAAAGAAGGGGGCAGAGATAAAAAAAACTGAAGAAAATACTTAATGACAATTCCCCAAATTTGGGGAAAGACATAAATGTATAGAATTTCCCATTATTAAAATTAAAAGACCATCATTTCAATAACATCACCATTAAATAAGAAAATACAAGGTCAATCTACTATAAGGGTTTTCTAAAAAAATATTTATTTTTCAGAGAAAGGGGACGGGAGGGAGAAAGACAGAAAAACACTGATGTGTAAGAGAAACATTGATTGGTTCACACCCCAACGGGGGACTGGTCTACAACCCAGGCATGTATACTGACTGTGTAGAATAAGTTTTTTTATAAAGTAACTAATTTTCTTTTTAGGATCTCTGTTTCCTTTTCTCAAATATTCCCAGTTAATTTTATGTAGTAATTTTCAGACTGTCATGAGGGGAAAAAATGTCAAAGAAAATCACGCCTAGGCATTCATACTAAAATGACTGAGGAGGGAACAAAGAGAAAAATCTTTCAAGGAGTTGAAAGAAAATGACATGTGACATTCAGGGAAATACTGATTTGAACAATGATTGACTTCTCATCAGACACAAGGCCACAAGGAACAATGTCCTCAAGTCCTCAACAAAAACAAGTCAACTCAGACTTCTGTATGCATCATTTTCAAGAATGAAGATGAAATTAAGACTTTTCAGCTAAGAAAAAACACGTGAAAATCTGTACAACACGAAATGCTAATGGCGATTCTTTAGGCTGAAAGGATCCTACCAGCTGCAAACTCAGACCTTCGGGGAGAAATCAAGAGCACCTGTAAATGGTAAATGGAAGACTATTTATCCTTAATTTCTTTCAAGTATGTATGACTCTTCAAAGCAAAACATACTGCAGAATTTACAACACAGATAGATTTAATACATACGAAAATTAGAGCATAAATGACACAGAGGAGATAGCAAATGCACCCACACAATTATAACTTCTTATACTGAATGTGAAATGGTGTAATGTTAACCCTGAGAAGCCTGAAAAGTTACAAATGTCTACTCTAACCCTTACCAGAGGCGTCCAAACTGCAGCCCACAGGCTGCATGCAGCCCAGGATGGCTGTGAAAGCAGCCCAATACAAAATCATAAATTTACTTAAAACATTATGAGATTTTTTTTGTGATTACTTGTGGCAATGTATTTACTGTGTGGCCCAAGATGACTCTTCTTCTAGTGTGGCGTAGAGACACCAAAAGGTAGGACATCCCTGCTTATCAGGTGATTTCTCAAAAGAAACCTTACAGGCAAGAAGGGGCTGGGAAAAAGAATGGAAGGGCATATAAAGTACCTCCCAGATAAGGTCAAGTCAAAGGAGTTCATCATCACCAAGCCCTTATGAAATGTTAAAGGGACTTATCTAAGAAAAAGAAGACAAAAAATATGAACAGTAAAATGACACCAAACTCACAAATATCAAAAACTGAACTTAAAAATAAAATAGAAACAAAAACAAACTAAGCAAACAACTAAAACAGGAACAGAATCACAGAAATGGAAATCACATGGAGGGTTATCAGTGGGGAGAAGCGGAGGGGAGAATGGCGAAAAAGGTACGGAGAATAAGAAGCATAAATTTTATGTACAAAATAGACAGGGGGAGGTTAAGGATAGTATGGGAAATGGAGAAGCCGAAGAACTTACATGTATGCCCCACACGCATGAACTAAGGTGGGGGGATCCTGGAGGGAGGTGGGGTACAGGGCAAAGGGTAATAAGGGGAGGAAAAAAAGTGGACAACTGTAATAGCATAATCAATAAACTACATTAAAAAAAAACTAATGCAAGAGACTCAACTCAGACATCAACGAATACATTAAAATTAACTCTAAAAAGTATTCAAAAAATCCAAAAGGCAGAGTTAAAAAACAGATGCTGGAAAATCAGATGGACCTGTAGAAACTCAATAAAATGGCAGACCTCAGTCCACCCATATCAATAACATGGAAAAGTAACAGACTACGCACTCCGATTAAAAGGTGGGGTTCATCAGAATGGATTTTTAAAAACACCCAACTATATGCTGTACATATGTGTAATATAGTGAACAGTAAGTACGTGGCTTTTATCCCTACTGCTGACACAGCTGCTAACACCCTTGGCATCTGTGCAGCGCACTAAGAGGATCTCATACACCAATGAGAATGGTGGCTGGGAGCCCTACTTAGCTTTGGGATGGGGGCTGGTCTCCAGAAAGACCTCCCTGGGCTAGAGGACCGGACCTTCTAGCCCCACGCTGACCTGCAGGGAGACAAAACAGCTGGAAATTGATTTCAATTACCAAAGGCCAGCAACTGCATCAATCATGCCTGTGTAATAGAACCTCTACAACATTCCTTAGTCAAAGAGGTCAGGAGAGCCTCTGGGTTGGGGAGCACATGGGTGCTGGCCCAAGGTGCCTGGGAGCACAAAAGCTGCACGCCACCCCCATCTTGCCCAGTGCCTCACCTCCTTCTGGTGGTTCTTGTTTGAATCCTTTGTAATAAACTGATGACAGTAACTGTTTCCCTGAGTTCTGGGAGCTGCTCTAGCAATTACTAAACCTGAAGGGGGGTGGTGACGATGGGAACATTCCGGCTTTGTAGCCAAGTCAGACAGAAGCGTGTATACTTGGGGACCCAACACCTGAGACTAGCCTCTGTAAAAAGGGTTGTCTTGTGGGACTCAGCCCTTAACCTGTGGGGTTGGACACTAAGTTCGGGTGGTTTCTTTCAATAGATTAAAAGTAAAATGGAGCCTTGGCTGGTGTGGTTCAGCGGATTGAGTGCCAGCCTCCTAACCAGAGGGTCACCGGGTCTATTCCCAGTCAGAGCACATGCCTGGGTTGCAGGCCAGGTCCCCAATGTGGGGTGCACGGGAGGCAACCACGCATTAATGTTTCGCTTCCTCTCTTTCTCCTTCCCTTCCCCTCTCCCTAAAAATAAATTAAATCTTTAAAAAAATTTTTTTAAATTAAAATGGATAAAACAATGTACAGCATGCAAACAAAATGCAAACAGAGGTTGGAATGCCAGTATTATTAAAAGATGAAGTAGGTTTTGACTAGGAGAGAAAATAGATATTTCATTAATGACAAAAGGGTACATTTATGAGAAAGCCACTATATGTAATAACAGAACTTCAAAACACTTAAAACAAAACTGGACAGAATTAAAGGGAGAAACAATTCCATACCACCTCTCTCAATAATTGACACAACAGTCCAGAAAATAAATATACACACATTTACGTACAAACACATGTAAAAATCAAAAGACACTGTCCCTCAGGGTAGAGTGCCCAAGGCAGCCACGGCTGATGGCCTCAGCACACAGGCAGCCAGCTCAGCTTCCACAGAGCTCTATTCTTGCCTCTGTTGTGCTCCACATTCTCACCAATGCCTTAATTTAGAGAGATGCATGTCATCAAACTTGCAGGTACTAACAGCCTGCTGTGAAAACTGTTTTGTTGGAGAATGAAAATCCAAAAAGGCCTTCACAGAGAAGAACCTGAGCTGAGAGCAGAAGGCCAGAATGACAGAGGAAATGTGGTCAAAACACATGTGGAAAAACCTTAAAAGTTCCAGCCCTGACCAGCGAGGTTCAGTTGGCTGGGCATCATCCTGCAAAGCCAAAGGTGGCTCGTTTGATTTCCGGTCAAGGGCACATGTCTGAGTTGCGGGTTTGGTCCCCAGCAGGGGCCTGTATGAGAGGCAACCATTCAATGTTTCTCCCCCTCTCTTTCTCCCTCGTTTACTTTCTGAATAAATACATACATACATACTTTAAGAAAGTCCCAGTCACCTTAACTCTATTATTCCTATGCAGTGCTGCTGTGTAAAGAGGCCCATCAGTAACTCAGTGGGTTTACATTTGTGTGTGTGTCAGCGTGCACAGCAGTGCAGCAGCAAGCCTATTACTCAGGGTCCTGGGCGCTGTACAGCTGCATGGTCCACCAGAGGAAGAGGCCTGAAGGTGGCCGTAGCTCCATCCCCTTCCTGTGTCCTCTGGAGATACCCGGCCACTCCCTCGACCCCTAGAGACGGTGGAAGGAGCAACAGGAAGCAAGCTCTGGCCTCGCCTGGGAAGCAGGCTCACTCCAACTGAGGGAGACACTGACCAGACCTGCTCCCGCCATGCACTTGTGCCACCTGACATCCTACCCACCCTCTTGGCCCAGGCCACCTACTCCCACAAGGTCACACAATGAGAGTGGCAACAGTGTCTCGCCACAAGCACTCACGACTCACTTTCTCCAAGTCCTCTTTCAGGCGGATTTCCTGCTGCAGCTTCTCATGTAAATTCTGGTTTTCTATTTTTAAAAGATTGATTTCTTCTTGGAGCTCCATCTCAAACAGTGAGAGTTTAACCTTGTGATCAGTTTCCAAACTGAAGACTGTCGTTGCCACTTCAGTCTCTAACTCCACGGCCGGGTCCTGTGCACCCCGAAGGTGCATGCGACCGAGCTCTGCGAGGGAGGACACAGGAAGTAGTCAGGCACAGCCCACAAGGACACCCACACACAGGGACAGGGCACCTTCCTTCAGATGCCTCTCTGACAAGAGACATTCAGATTTGGAAAACCCACATTCAGACATTCGACCCGATTTGGTCAAGTGGGCATGACCGGCAGCCCAGTAGTCAATGTACAGAACCGCACTCAGTGCCGTCCCTACACAAATCCTGTCCCAGTCGCCCACTCTGCTCCTTCAGTTTGGGTAGCAGATGACTGTAATCAGCTGTGCCCACCATGCCCAGGGACTGCAATATGCTGCACAATGGCCATGAAGCGCCTCTTACGCAGGAAGGAGAACTGTGAGGAGTAAACACCAAGTGCAGCATGACCTCAGCTCTCAGGGCTGTGCCCCCTCTAGCTCTGAGGGAACTGCGCCAAGACAAACACTTGTGCCAGAGCACCCAGCATGGACCCTGACCCCCGCCATACCCTCATGCGGGACCATCTGCCTTGCCTCCTCAGCTCCATGTAGAATACAATGGCACCCACACCCAGGGCTGTCCCAGCCTCTTCTGGACTCTGTCTTGCCTTACATCCACCCTCTCTGCAACAAGGTCACTACCTGTCCCCATCTGTAGCACCCCTGGATGACCACAGCTCCTTCATCTGCCACCACCTGGCCACCCCAGCCTCCGATTACCCCTCATGCTACTGCATAGTCAGGCCGTTTCCCGATACTGCAGGGCCCTGCTCCACCCCTCGAGTCCAGGACCGCTGTGTGGGGACAACCTGAGCCAACCCCTAGCACCAGCACTGCACAGAAAAGGGACAGCACACCCAGATGACTCAGGCAGAGTCAATCACCGTGGAGGCTCCTAATCTTCCACAAATTACACCTGGGCTGCTAAGGTACACCCACCTGAGCCCGGCTCTTCCAAGAGCCCCATGTGCTGTGCCAACACCTGGGTCCTTGCAAGGTGGGCCTCCTGCTGCACTGCCACTTGGCACTGGGGGCTTTCTTCTAACCGTGTGTGCAAACACAGGTCCTCCTGTGGGGAAGTCACACAGAAGAAATGTTTCAGCAAGCCTCTGCCTCGGGGCCTCGTCGCCACCTCCCAGGCATGCCCCATGAGTGATGCAGGCTCACTTCATCCTCTTGTGCCACCTGTCACATCCAGAGGGAAGCAGTTGGCTGTGCCCCTAGGAGTGCAGGCTCTGCTAAAGCACAGGGCCCACAGTCAGCGAGTCCTCACACTGCACTGTGCTCACAGGGCCAACACAGAGCCCAAGCCACATGGACAATGGACAGACCCTGACCACTGGAGCCCCCTACCCTTACTTCCCCTTCCCAGGTCAGGCCTCCTCCGCCCACTCCCTTCCGTCCTCACAGGCCCCGTGGACCAGGGCCTCAGTCCAATGGGCACTGCTCTGCTATGGGCTCCCGGGCTTCTGCATCACTTACTCCTGAGCCTCTTCACTCCCTCCTCCACTCTCCTTGCCATGCACTTTCCCAACCAGAGCCAATGCTGGGCCTGCTTTAGAGATCCCAGGGGCAGGGTCTTTGGTAGCTGCTGTGAGCAGACCTGATAATGAGGCCCGGCTGAATGTCCTTATGGAGGAAAAGAAAGCAGGCAGGCAGGCAAGGCGGCAGGCTCAATGCTGTAACACTTCCTGTTCCCCTCACAATGCAACTAGGAAGCCCAATTTCCTCAAAAATCACTAAGGAGCCCTGGCTGGTGTGGCTCAGTTGGCTGGAGCATCATCCTATAAACCAAAAGGTCACAGGCACACGCATAGGCTACAGGTTTAGTCCCCAGTCAGAGCACATATAGGAGGAAACCTACTGATGTTCCTCCCCACGCCCCAAAATCAACAAGCATGTCCTTGGGTAAGGATAAAAAGAGATCACAGAGGAGTCATATCAACCTAAACTTCACGATTCCTGCCCCGTGACATCTGAACACACAAAAGGGCCACGTTCCAAATTGGAAGGACTCACCTTTTGGAAAATAAAAAAGAACTTAGAACCTACACCCGCCACCAGACAAGAGCTAAGCTCCAGACGGATAAAAAGTGAAAATGTAGAAAAACACTGTTACGCTGAGAATGGGGGCGAAGAGCTGCGAGTGCTATGAAGGACTCTGAACTCCAAACCCTGAGCCCGCCGGCAGCCGTGTGGAAGTGGTCACGGCAAGAGACCAGCAGGGTGAGGACATCCAAAGCACAGGAGAAAGGGGCAAAGGACATGATGGCAAAAGCAGGCCATAAAAAAGAATGGTCAGTAAAGAAGTTTAAAAAAAATCCAACCTCATTAATAAACCAGCCCTGCCTACACTCTGATCTCAGACTTCCACCCTCCAAGACCGTGAGGTGACACACGTCTGTTGTTATGGCTGTTGGAGCTGACCGAGACACAGCCTAAATAACTAAGGACAGCAGACACAGAGACTAAAGCCAGTGCTCGCATGCTGCAGAGCATGTCTGCACTGCACTACCGGTGCTCCGCCACCCATGAGCACTGCCGCCTCACAGTGGCCACCAGACCTGGGGGCAATTGGCACTTCAAGAGGTCGTCATCAATAAAAGCTCAGCTCCAGTCATAGCCACACTCAGGTGCTCACAGCCTAGTGTGCCTCTCTGTCCCGACTGGCACATTCCCATCATTGCAGAAGGCCCTGTTCGGACAGTGTCAGCCTCACAGGTTAAAATGACAGAAGCGAATACCACAGAGGTAACTCCGAGAACAAAGAAATTGATAAACGATGCTCGACATACCACTTAGAGCAAAAGACACAATGTGACATTCTGCCATTGTCAGAAGCATGGGGAGCACATGGAGACATGGGCAGCTGCGCCCTGAGACAGGCAAGACAACAGCCTGGCAGTACTGAGGACAGGACAGCAGATTCTCCTGGTCATTTGGTTCCAATTCATACTCTTGAATCCAATCACATTTGTTGTAAACAACCATTCAAACAGACCACGAAGCAATATGAAGGGAGATGCAAAAAACCCTCAAAATTTATTTATAAAAATTGTTTATTTATTCTTACATGTTTAAGCTTCAGTTGCCTTCAAATTACTCTCCATTTGATGAAATATACCTATCAAGACTTTTTTCCGAAGCTTAAAACAATTTGTGAACTTGTCAGTTTTGATGCTTTTTAGAGTTTCTGCCGTTTTTTGTTTTGTCTCTTCCACGTCGGCAAAACATTTCCCTTTGAGGGCACTTTTCATCCGGGGAAGCAAAAAAAAAGTCACTCTAGCCAAACAGAGATGAACAGGGAAGGTAAGGCACAGGGGTCATGCAGGTTTTGGTCAAAAACTGCTGAACACTCAACACTGTGTGGGCAGGTGCACTCATAAATCACCTGTCATGAGACAGGCAAACATGTTAAGAATCTTCCAAAAGAAATTCACTGTGGCCAAACAGTGAAACAGCGGCCATTGTGTGAAAACAGCCTCACACAGTGGCCACGGGTGCACTGATACAGATGGGTTCCTAGAACACTCACCTAGCATGGGAAGACTGTACTACAAGGGGCCCACTGTCCAGAAGATAATTCCAGTTTGGGGGAAGCTTCTCCTCCATACAGGGTACCAAAGCAACTCGTCCCCAAGATACAAAGCAAGCCTTCCTCTACATGACATGTCACAGATGGCATTTGTGAAAAGGACGAAAATTCAGATTTTGTAACATGAAACACCACTTCTCAATTAAAGATTATTAAAACACAACCTTTCTCAATGATTAAAATTTGGCTTATATCACTTAACAGCAACAACAAAAAACCCACACAAACAATCCAATTAAAAATGGGCAGAGGACCTGAATAGATGCTTCTCCAAACAGGACATACAAATATCCAACAGACATATGAAAAGATGCACAACCTCTTGAATCTTCAGAGAAATGCAAATTAAAACCACAATGAGATATCACCTCACCTGTCAGAATGGCAATCATCAACAAATCAACAAACAACAAGTGCTGGTGAGGATGCGGAGAAAAGAGAATCCTCATGCACTGTTGGTAGGAATGCAGACTGGTCCATGCACTATGAAAAAGAGTATGGAGTTTCCTCAAAAAATTTAAAATGAAGCTGCCTATGACCCAGAAATTCCACTTCTGGGTATTTATCCAAGAAAATAAAAACACTAATTTGAAAAGATATATACCCCTAACTTTATTATAGCATTTTTTGCTATAGCCAAGATATGGTAGCAACCTAAGTTGTCATCAACAAATGAATGGACAAAGAATGTGTGTGAATGTGTATACATTCATAGAGCCATAAAATGGAATCAAATCTTGCCATCTGTGACAGTTTGGATGGACCCGAAGGCCATTATGCTAAGTTAAATTAGTCAGATACAGAAAGACAAATAAGATATGATTGTACTTTTACGTGGAATCTGGAAAAAGGTCAACTGAGCTCATGGATACAGAGAACAGATTGGTGGGTGCCAGAGGGAGTGGACGGGAGAGACAGATGAGATGGGCAACAAGCACAAAATTCCAGGTATAAAAAGTACAATCAGTCCTGGGATGTAAGGTACAGCATGGAGACTTGTGCGGAAAGTTGCTGAGAGGAGATTTTAAGTCCTCACAAGAAAAAAAATTCTGTGACTGTGTGGTAATGGATATTATTACTATGTGATCATTTCTCAGTATAGACAAATACCAAACCATTACGCTGTGCACCGTGGGTCAATACAACACTACACGTCAATTATATGTCAGTAAATCAAAACTGGACCGTCACCTCATACTGCTCCAGCTGGAAGCTGAGCTGATCAAGGTGGTCTCTTCTTTCTTTTTCAGATGTTTCTTCTAAAACCGCACTGGATGAACTAAGAGAAAAAACACTCCATGAAAACCGCAGATGTGGCATTTTCACATCTGAATCCTAGGATACGATCACCATGCGATCCTAGTGGTGTCGAGAACAAGACACCATGACTAACTAAACCATGTCTGTGACGGTGACCACAGCTGCTGTTGTAGCCGCAGAGACCCTGGGATAACTCAGGCCCTGACTGCCCGCGCCCACCCCCACTTGCTGCACATCACCAGCAGCCTGCCCTGAGGATCAGACTCAGCTCTCAGCTCTAATGCCCTCTTGTTCCAAGTCCCAAACAAAAAAAATGTGTTTCTAGGAAACCTGGTTATTCATCTCCATGGGCGTGAAGTCAAAAGCAAAACTAGATTTCAGGGCTGGTGAACACGAAATACAACCAATACATGAGTGAGGTATGATATGTATACCTAAAACCTATACAGTTTTATTAACCAATTCCATCCCAATAAATTCAATTAAAATATTTAAAAATAGCTTAATTATACAGGGATGGGAGAACAAAATAAGGTAAAACTATTGAAATATTAACACTACACTGTCAGAACAAACCCTGGTGCCATTTCCTTGGCAGAGGCAATGAATGCCTCTGAGGGGGTCAAAGGTCAGGGCAGCTGTAATCAATTTTCATTACACATATACACTTACTACATTTTGGTTTCTGAGGGTAAGCCCAAAAAAACCCAAAAACCTAGATTTCAGTTCAGCTCAAGGTTCCCATATTTCAAATACACATTCAGGATAAAAATTGCTGTATTTACCTCATTTCTGCAGACTCCAGGACAGAATCCTCCCTCACCTCCTGCAGCCGCTGCTGTAACAGAGTCAGGTCTTCCTGGTAGCTTTTTTCAGCATCCCTCAACTTCTTTTCAAAGTAAAGTCGCAGCTGCTCCAGTTCGGACTCGTGCTCAGTTTTCTCCCGTTGCTGTCGCTGCTCAAAGTCTCGCTGCAGGTGTTCCAATTCTTCCACGTGAGATGCTCGAGCCAGGAGTTGTTCACGCAAGTCTTTAACAGAATGAAATTATGCAATCACCTTGACAGAAACCCTCAGGAAAAATCAGGAAATACTGAAGGTCCTAAAGCATGGTGCAGGAAGCCAGATGCTAAAGGCCCCCAGTCCCAGAACCTGTGACTGCGGCTTATGCCACGTGACATGGGGGGCCTCCAAAGGGAGATGACCAACCACCTCGGCATTCTCAGGATAGAGGGAGAAGCCAAAGAGACTGAACGAGTAAGAAGCACCCCATGTGCTGCTGGTCTCTGAAGACAAAGGGACCAGAGAGGAGGAATATGTACAGCCCCTGGGAGCTGAGAGCAGTTGGCTGATAGCCAGCAATGGCATGGGACCTGTCCTATGACCACAGGGACTGGATTCTGCCCTACCCAAGTGAGCCAGGTGGAGGGACAGCCCAGCAACTGAATTACAGCTATGGGTGACATTGGGCAGAAAGCCGAGGCATGCCACCTGAGACCTCTGATCCATAAACCTGTCAGTAACCTAGTGTAGTTTTTAAGCCACTAAATCTATAATACTTTGTTAATGACAAGAGCAACATAGACCAGAAGAGAACGTCACCATCATTGTTTTGATCAAGAGAAGGCTGCCAGCTGGTTGATAGTAACTAGTCTTCAAATAATGTTTCAAAGTAGAGTTCCCTGTGAGGGTCTTTACATGCAAGGATGAAGATTCCCAGCAAATGTGCCAGAGCTGGAATACATGTGTGAATGCATGCATGAAGTCAGGTACAGGTAAGTGCCACCTGTGGCTTCCATCAGTGACACACGGACCCAAAAGAAAGACTGAGTGATGGGCTGACTTGGTGAGGCGCAGCAGAGACCCAGCCTTAGTCACCACCAAGCAGCTGACTGCTGTTTCTAGTCCTTTGTCCTGACTCTGATCTTTGTTCCCAAGAGCGCTTATCCAGTAAGGGCAATCACTAGGTTTAAAAGACTGTGTGGCAATCAGCAGCAGAAGAGCACAGGTCTGTGCCTTTCCCCTCCCTCCACGGTCTCCTGACTTCCTCCAACTGAAAGTGCCACCAGGGAACAGAGGCTGCTCTGACGCAGTCCTGGAAGGGGACCCAGGTGAGCTGCCTTCAATAAAGGTGGCCACAGCTGTGGGGCCTAGAGACTCGGTAGTCACCCACCAACACCAGAGACTGGGGTGACAGGAGTCTGCCCTAGGTGAACTCACTGGCACCACATGGAAGGCACACCTGCCACCCCAGGTGCCAGCTGAGAACCGAGTTTCTAGAATACTCAGCAGCAGCTTCTAGGTAGAAGCATGCACACTCAACAGGTGCCTGACATCAGTGGAAGCAGACATGACTCAATAGCTGTTAGCTTGCTTAACATAAAATCCAAGCTCCCCAACAATAAGTCAACACGTGCACCTGACATCACGTGCACCCATCTTCAGAAAGTTCACAAATCACGTTTTGCACTCGCCACAACTGTTATACCCTCATTTGGGGTTCCAGTTAAAAACACACAGCTTTGCCCTGGCCAGTGTGCCTAAGTTTGTTAGAGCATCACCCCCTACACTAAAAGGTTAGAAGCAGCCAATCAGTGTTTCTCTTTCACACCGATGATTTGCTCTCTGTCTCTCTTCCTCCCCTTCTCCTTCTCCCGCCTCTACCTTCCTCTCTCTAAAAGCAATGAAAAAATGTCCTCAGGTGAGGATTAAATACACACATACACACACACACACACACACAGCTTCAGCCCTGGCTGGGTGGGTCAGTCAGTTGGAACGTCATCCCATTCACCAAAAGTTAGAGGTTCGATCCCTGATCAGGTCACAGACCTCAGTTGCCAGTTTGATCTCCGGTAGGAGTGTGTGTGGGAAGCAACCGATCATGTTTCTCAGATCAATGTTCTCTCTCTCTCTCAAATCAATAAGCATGTCCTCGGGTGAGGATTAACACACACACACACACACACACACACACACACACACACACACACACAGCTTCAGCTTTTGAGGCTCTGAATCCTCAACATGAAGCTCCTCACCACTCAGCTCCTGTCTGTCGGTTTTCATGGACTCAAGCTGGGACCACAGGCGCCTGACTTCCTCTTGTGACTGAGCCTTCAGCTCTTCATAAGATGCTTGAAGGTTCTCCAACTAGAAAAGGAAGGTGACAGTGAGACATCACCCAAGACCAAGCCCTGCAACCGACAGGCATGAGAGAGCACCTGCAGTAAAAGCTCAAACACCACACGTCCAGCCTAGAGAACACCAACAAGCGGGGCACCAGAGGAAAACTGCCAGTCGTCCTGTTTAAAGGTGCCATCTCCCGACTGCAGCCCTACCAGCGCCTGGTATTTCTCTCACAGATCACCCTGCTCACCCGCCTGGCCTTGTTCCCTGCAGAGAAGACGACTTCTCACGATCAAGGGCAAGAACTTTTTCTGTTGTTCTAAGTAGTCGGAGGAAGGCCGACAGTGGTACCGGGGGCCGGGTCCCATGAGGTGGGTACACTGGCTCTCTCCCAGACTGCCAGCTGGCACCAACCACATGACGCAGTCTCCCAAGAGGTCCCCCAATTGTCCCCTCTAACGTGTTCTTCCTCATGGCCCTTTCCTTCTCATCTGTGATTACGGCCCTCCCTTACTCATCCCAAGAGGTAGGTTTGGATTTTCTCGAAATTTCTTGGTCAACCTTCCTGAGAAGCAGCTTCTTTCAGGGGTGAACAGAGCTAGCACACCGAGCTCATGCTGCATGCCAGCCACCCTGAGAGAGACAGAGACAGAGAAAGAAAGAGAGACAGAGAGAGACAGAGAGAGAGGGGGAAAGAAAGAGAACTGGCGGCAGAGAGCAGCTCCAACCGGCCCACCCACACAGGGGCTCGGTCAGCCTTTTATCACAGAGCTGGCCCTGTGGCCCCCCTAGCCTCTTCTCCAGGCCACAAAACAGAGGTGCCCCCCGTCCTCTCTTTCTCATTGGGGAGGTGAGTGTGTGGCAGCCTGGCCCAGGCTCTGCTGAGCTGTCATAGCCTTGGTCTGGAGGAGAGGCCGTGGGAGCGGGTGCAAGAGCAGCAGCAGGGGCCCGACACAGGCTCCCTGGGCTCGGCGACTCCCCTCCTCTGTAACCCATGCACAGGCCGTGAATGCCTCCATCCCTGATTTGCTTTTTTTTTTTTTTTTTATTTCTTAAACCAAGACTTGGGTCCTTGCTTGATTTGTGGTCTGGTAACAGAAGTACTCCAGGTCTCAGTAGATCTGGCCACATGGCCCCATTCTGATATGCACTGTTTCATTGGAAACGAGTTTTGAACATGAGCAGTAGGAATGTTTCTGCTTAACTTTTCTGAGAAAATTTTTTTATGGAATTATGGTCAGAGCACGTGGCCCTCCACCCCTCATACCCTGAATCTATACACATCTCTGGGCACTTGCAAAGAATGTGAATTCTCTGCATCTAAGATTGAACATAACTTAAATCAACCTTTCAGACTCTGTACATGCACTTCATCCACTGGCTCCAGCAAATCTAATAGTCGCCTGAAATTAGTACTTAAATTTGAGCAAACAAACAGAATGTGAAATGCCCTCAACCTAAAATCTTCTAAGTGGTTCAGTGAACCGTCACTCACCTCCAGCTGCTTTTCTGTCTCCTTCTCTCTGACCCTCAGGTCCAGGTCCTCGGCGTGCCGGCAGCGCTCCGACTGCAGGTCTTCCTGCAGCCTGGTCACCACGGCGTCGTGCTGAGCCTGCAGTGTCTGCAGGGACACTGAAGAACACAGGCCGCGCTCAGTTTATGACAGCCCGGTCTTCTTCCTCAGCAACCCTCAGTGAGCACGGCATGGTGTGCGACGGCACTGAGCGCCACCGCCTCCTACCCGAGGCGCCCTGCTCCTTTCAGCCCACTCTAGCACCCCTGCTGTTCTCAGGAGGCGGGGAGGGGTGTAGGCCAGCCACCCAGCAGACAACTGCTCTGACAGGTGGGCGTCATGTAACAGGCAACAAGCTTAAAAAGTGAACAACCCCAGCATTCCTACGTTGATGGCAATTTAATAATGGTACAAGCAAAAACTCTCTCTGAAACAGAAGTTTCGGGAAGGTTTAGGGAACTCGAGAGGCCTGTGGTCAACGAGGGGAGACCCCTGGGCTTGACTGTCCCATGATGGCTCTGAACCTCTGTCACCCAGGGGTGTCACATGCACTGTTATGCGGCACTTGAACACACAGGCAGTTCATACTCAACCACAAAGCTAGCAAATACAGGGCGCTGGTGTTCCAGACCCACACAGGATAATCTGGTCCCTTTCAGACCTGCTCATCGTAATTAGGTACTCACATTCTGTCTGATTTTTGGCTTGAAAAATCTTCTCCAGCTCAGCTTTCTGTTCTGCCAATTCCTTCTTAAACTGGCTTTGTAAGCTCTCCAATTCTGACTGATGCTTTGCAGATAACTCTTTGTGTAGGCTTTCTAAGCATGAATCTCTCTCAGCTTCCCAGTCTTGCTTCAAGTTCTAATTTAAATAAGGAAAAAAGAAAGTATGACCAACAGTTGATTCTGTCATAAAAAAATTTAGATCACATGTTCAAAAACTGGGCAGTCACCACTGCCTAGACCAGACTGCCACCATGGGAAACGAGCTCTAATGTCCAGCTAGTCCCTTCACTACTGCTGACAGGGACAGAACCGAAAGGACCAACGGGACCCACAGAGCAAATGAAAAGAAATGAGGGCCACCTGCCCAGAAACACAACCCATCTCTGAACACACAGCACAGGAGGGCAGTCCCTCCCAGGGGTTCACGGACCTGCCCCCACAAAGATATGGGGGTGCTGCTGCACAGTGATGTCACTGACCTCTGTGGGAGGGCTGGGCTCTGTCCCAGGTACCCTGAGGAACAAGTCCTCACTACCCTGCTCAGAGGGGCCGGGCTGGGCACAGGCCTCCAACCCACAGAGAGCTGACCAGAGCGGCCAGGACAGAAACACTCATGTGCCCCGACGTCACATGTCTCCTAACGTTGCCCACGTTTTCCCTGATGTCACCCATTTCCTCTGCTGTCACCAGTGCAAATGCCCCTCCACAAATGTCGCTTTTAGAAAGGGACAGGTATGAGAATCAGGAGTTCTAGGGACAGACTTCCTCAAAAAAGAGCTCATTGTGTTCTACCCTAAAACATAACTCTTTCTCTAAAGAGGTGGTGTGGGGTGGAAGCAGGAAGGCAATTATTGGCCACGCTGGTGCTGCTGGCAATGTGAACAGAGCCAACCATGGTGCACCCAGGGGCGGACACCCTGGCCTGGCTGCTTTGTCCTTGAGGCTCTGCTAGTCCAATGTTCTCTGCAGCGTCCTAGCACTCCCACTCGCTGCACCTCACTTAATTGCTGAGGTTGGCGCCTCCCTGCATGAGGACAGAGGTCTGTGTCCCAAGCACAGCAAGGGCCAGGCCACAGCAGCCACTCAGGAAACCAGACTTGTAAAGAGCCTCATGTTACACAAGTCAGTCTGACAAATTCAAATTGTAAAAAGAAAAAGAATACTCTACCTCTGAAAGAAAATGCAACACACTTCTACCAACATAGCCAACTAAAGCTCTGACTGCGTTTGGTTTATACCAAGATGAGGGGCTTTTCTGTGGGGGGGTCCCAAATGGAGGGGGCAAGTTGGTGGGATAAGCAGAAAGGAAAAACACTGTCCACACAGAAGGGCATTTTCTCATCACAGATACCTCTATTATGTTCTCATTTCTCTCCATTTCTGATTGTAACTTCTCCTTCAGCTCGGCTGCAAGAAAAACATAAAAGGTCTCTCAGGTCACTGAGTCTCAGGCTTTCCCAAAAGCTGATCGCCCAGGAGATCAGAGGCTCCTGGCTCCTGCTGGCTGCTCTGTGGACACCCACCAGGGTCAACAGGACAAGATGCATCTGAGAGGGAGCAAGAAGCAAGAGTATATGATGATGTCTGGTTTAACAAATTGTACTCATGCCCAAACCAAGGACCACAAGATTTCCAGCCAGGAGGACAGTCCAAGACAAGCAGACAAGGCTGCCTCCAGAGTGCACAGTCACTGAGATCCTCGAACCTGCCTCTTCTTCTAGTCACAGGGACCTCTGCCTGTCTGCTCCACACCGGGCCAGATGCCAGGCTAGGTGCCAGAAGGCAGGTAAAGATGTTCTAGGACCCAACAACTCCCAACCCTGAAAGGGAAGAAGCACAAGAAAAGAGGAGTAGGTTCTGGGGAGTGGAGGAGAGAGATGTTACTGGACTGCTGGGCACAGCCAAGTTAGGCCTGACACATGGGTGCACACCCAAACACCAGAGCGTCAGGCAGACATGGCAGGAGCCTCAGGAAAGCACCGAGGAGGAGCTGGGGAGAAGTGGTGCCGTGTGCGCATGGTGAGCGCAGCCTGAGCGAGTTCAGAGTTAAGGCAAAGGGCACCACCCCGAGTGCAGGTCCCATGCTGTCCACAGGGGCCAGGCCACGGCAGGGCCTCTCTGAGCACAGGGCAGGCACAGATCTCTCCACAGACCTGCTCTTGGGTGCAACCAAGAAGATGAGAAGATGGCTTTGGGGGGAGCCTAAGGCAGAGCATATTTTGTATTTTAAGTAACATACAGCCCTGGCTGGGGAGCTCAGTTGGTTAGCACGCTGTCCCAATACACCAACGTTGCAGGTTCAATCCCCTGTCAGGGCGCACGTAAGATTTAACCCACAAATGCAAAAATAAGCAGAACAAATAGATGTTTCTTTCTCTATCTCTCTCCCCTTTCTCCCTCCCCCTCTCTCTAAAATCAGTAATGTTTAAAAAAACTTTCGAAAGTATACACATACACACACACAAAAATGGGTAGAAATAAGACAACATACTCGTGTTTGCTTGGATCTAGAGAAGACATGTGGGACAGCACTACGAGAACCTGAGAGACCCAGAAAGAGGAGGACTTCTCAACACACCTGGAGCCGCACGCTGCTTTATTTTTCCAAATAGAAAACTCAGGAAAGGGGCCTGTAATCAGGTTTCACGCCAGCAGGGAAGCGGGGCGACTGCCCGAGGGTGCTGGCTTCCTCCTGGGGTGATGAAAGTTCTAAACACACTGTGATGTCTGCGCGACTCTGGCACACCACGACCCCCAACACCAACCCTTTACATGGGTGAACTGTGTGGTAGAGGAGTCACTGCTCAGTTGTTTTACTTATTTATTTCTTTATTGTTGTTCAAGTACACTTAGTAAAGCAATTATTTTAAAAACACGTTTACAAAAAGTAGTAACAGCCCTGGCTGGTATAGCTCAGTGGATTGAGCGCAGGCCTGTGAACCAGAGGATCCGCGGTTCGATTCCCAGTCAGGGCACATGCCTGGGTTGCAGGCCGGTTCCCAGCAGGGGATGCATGAGAGGCAACCATACATTGATAATTTCTCTCTCTCCCCTTCCCTTCCCCTTTAAGAATAAATAAATAAAATCTTAAAGAAAAAAGTAGTGAGCAACAAAAAATGTACAAAAACATTGAAATGAAAACATAAAAGTGTATCTTAGACATAAGAAGTTCGTGTAGGCCAGAGACTCAGAAGATGAAGAGGCTCCTTGGCCGGCCACCCATGAGGAGCAGCACAGCCCCACTGGGCACTGAGTGGGATGTCGGGGTCTGTGTCCAGGAGCATTTGGGTTGTGCTGGGCAAAGATTGGCCACAGACACAATCCTGTCAATGATGTAGGTACAGACACCTCCAGCACGTGACCAAATCACCTCCAAAGACACCATTTCAAAAGTTAACACAAGCCCGTTTGGAGAACTGGAAAGAAGGGAACAGCAGAGCAGGAAGAGGACGCGCAGAGGGGGCAGAGCAGGATGCACTGCACGGTCAGGGGGTAAACGGGGCCTGGCAATGGCTGGGCCAAGTGCCTGCACATGGAACAGGCCACACAGCTTCAGCGTGGGCAGGGAGATGGGTGTGAGAATGCCTCACCTTGGAGGCACCTCTAAGGGGGCTGCCTGCCTCCCCAAACACCAGAAATGGGATCTGTGCTTCCCCCCGGACGGTCACTTTAAGCCCGTGCCTGCCCACACACACATACCTATCTCCCGGCTGCACCTCAGTGCCACTTCCTCCTGCTCCCTCGCATGCTGCTCCCTAACGAGCTCCAGCTCCAGCCGCTGGCGGCTCTGCAGCAGGGCCAGCTCCTGGGCGTGCCGGCCATTAAGCATGTCCCGCAGCTCTGTCAGTGCTGTCTCCTTCTCCCTCTGCAGGTTGGCCTGTGTCAGCTCCAGCTGTGCTGTGTGCATGTTGCTCAGACTCAAGCGCAGCGCCTCCAGCTCCAGGGGCGGCACCGGCTGCAAGGAGAGAGGCGGTGCTGAGGTGGTACTGGGGAAGCAGCAGCCAGGTTAAGATGTGGCCTTGACCCCAAGGCCCTGGACACGGTAGCTGCCCAGGAGAGTCCATGCTCCCAAAGAGGCCCTGGCCAGCACTTCTCATACCTCAACGCCCCTTTGCCGGCACAGCACTGCTGTGTGCGAGGAGTGTGACAGGCCACTGATAGGGAAGTGCAAGCTGTGCAGAGAGTATGTCCCTACCACCTGGCCTGAACTGCTGCCACCAAATGTCCATGTGTGTCCCTCGACTTTCAATGGCCCCACATAAGATGTGAAAACAAAACAAAAAAAACAAGAAAGCAGACACAGCAAGCCTGCAGTGCACGTTTGTCCACTGTGACAAATCTCTCCCAAACCCTGGGTCCTGGCGTGAGTGACAGCGTCTGGATCACCTGGGTCTGCAGCTGCACCGGCTGCATCTCTGCTGGCAGCCCCAACATTGCCCACTGCTCCCTGCCAGTCTTTTCTCCATGTTGGCTCATCAGTTCAGCGAGTTCAGGTGTGCATTCCTGGCCACACTCCTGGGGAAGGAGAGCAAGAGACACAAAAATTAGTGATGATACACCAGAGAGAACAGAAAACATACATCTTCATGAAAACATGGCCAAGAGTGCCCCCAGCAGCACTGTTCACAACTGCCAGTAAGTGGAAGCAACGCAGTGTCTACCGACGAGTGACCAGGAAAACAAATGTGGTGCAAGCACACAACGGGACACAAAAAGCAGTGATACAGGACACCTACAACATTAATGAACCACAAAACACATTCAGTTAAAGAATCCAGACACACTTAAAGGTCCATCTGCAGGAAATGTCCAGAACGGGCAAACTTACAGACAGAAAGTAGACTGGTGGTTACCAGGGACTGGGGGGAGGGGTGGAAGAGGAGGGACTGATAACAGGGACAGGTTTCCTCTCTGGGTAATGAAAATGTTCTGGAATTTGTTGTAATGAATGCACAAGCTATTTAATATATATACTTAAAATGGCAAATTTTATGTTATGTGAATTATGTCTCAATAAAAGTAACTATGAAAGAATATGCAACCTGAGTGGTTTCATATAAACTTGAAATCCCCAAAACAGAGGTTGCAGGTATTATTAACTGGGTAGCAGAGCCCGTTTGCCCCTCGGTCACTGTGGCAGAAACTGGGACAGGTTGCCTTCCCAATACGCTGAGTGCAAGACTGCCTCACAGGTCCACGCTGGAGACCAGGTGCACACAGCTGACTACGTGAGACGAGAGAAGCACTCTGCAGGGAAAAGTCAGAACAGGAAAGCTATTCTCCATGCATCAAAGGCGAACTTCTCTCTTCAACATCCAGGAGAAAAGGCCAAAAGTGACAAGGTGAACCGAGCGGGGCTCCATCAGGTCTGGAAAGACCTCCCATGCAGGGGCAGCATGAAGGACCTGAGGTCTGCAGGGTAGCTCTGCCTCAAGCCTGTGCCCCCAGTTTCCGATATGAGACAAAGGGCCCTGGAAACATTGAGTCCTCTCTCTGGTCTGGGTTTCTACAACAGGGAGAAGTCCTCTGACAAGGAACACACCTTAACAAGAGAACTTGGAGACCAATACCTTTGTGAGGAGCCCAGGTTGTTCCAAACCGTCGCCATCCAGCTTCTGCCACGGCTGCTCCAAGTCCTCTGTCCTTGCTCCATCAGGGTTCTCCAGCTAAGAAGGGAAGGGCCAGAGAAGAGCAGTTACAGCACCAGAGCCACAGCCTCAGGCCATTCCAGCCCCTCCACCTGCCACCACACGAACTCCACCCAATCCGTTCAAGTTCAGAATCTGCACTCTCCTCCTTAAACCATTCTCAAGATCTAAATGCTTATTATGCAACTCATTTACTTAATGCTGCTGCTGCCCTCTTTTTAATGACTTCTGCTTCTTTAACTGTTTCACCGTAAACCTGACACTTAAATTACTAAATTTTAGTTTCTCAACAAATTCTAGTCTTTTAGGCCAATGCACTTAATTTTAATTTCCAAGTTCCTAATTTTAAGTACGAATATCTTATCTTCAAGATCTTCTTTTGTCTTTCCTTAAAAATTTACAGAAAGAATATCTTTAGTGTCTTACTATAAATTATCTCAAACTTCAAAGTTTTCCAGTAAATTTTCCGCCAACAGTTTACTGACCTATAAATTCACAGTAATTTTGGGCTTTTAATCTGCTGAGCAAACTGAGCTGAGATGACTCTGTCTACAAACAAATCTCAGGAGTGCTCAAAGAGGCTCTGGGTTTGAAACACGAAGTCACGGGCACTCCACTCGTAAGGACCCCACTCCTTCCCCGCCGTTAACCACAGCACCACTCAACACCACACACAGGCCGCACACAGGCCAGGCTTGCAGGGCCCAACACAGATGTCGGGTTTCAGCTACTTGAGGGGCAGTTATACATTTCCCTGTATTCTCTCTCTGACTGGTCATCCTAAAAACAATTAAAAAAATTACTTTAAAAAAACAAAGTAAAAACACACCCTTGTTGGTGTGGCTCAGTGGAGCGAGCACAAGCCTGCAAACCAAAAGGCTGTCAGGGCACATGCCTGGGTTTCGGGCCAGGTCCCAGGTCGGGGATGTGGGAGTGGCAACCAACTGATGTTTCTCTCATGCATCAATGTTTCTCTCCCTCTCTCTCCAAATAAATTAAATCTTTAAAAAAAATTTTAAAATATAATAAAACATATTCCGTCTTGCAATTACTACATGAGTCCACAAGACCTCTGTGTGTACCTGAGTCATAAGATAGAGCTGAGCAACTGTTTTCCTATATGAGAATTTCATCATCCTAGGAATTATTTCATCATACTACTCAGTGATTCCCAACTATGTCAACAACTAGAATAATGGAGAAACGGGAGAGGGAACTGCCTAGAAGGACAAGGTGACAGTGAAATGAATCACTACCCTTCAGTTTTCTTACTGACTGAGAGACCAGCTTTGTAACCACGTTCCAATATGAGAATTCTTAAGAATTTGTCATTTTTCTGCAAAAATGGCAAGGAGAAGAAAGTTGACAGCAAAGACTTTTCACAAACCATTAGATGAATGAAAAGATGAATGCAGACAGAGCAGCACTCGAGGACACCAATGACAGCAGCCCATGGCAAAAACGAAATCTCAGATCACAATTCTGCCCAGGACGTGACATGATCAATTTTCTCGAAATCAAGGCCAAGTGAACCCACAGGCTCTAAGGACAGAGACCCGCAGGCTCTAAGGACAAAGAGAGCCTGTGAGTCTCATCCCAGTCGTGCAGAGGGAGGTCTCTACCTCGTGACACCTGCTTCAAAAAACTCAACCATCCTATTTCACTTCGTATGTGTCAATATTCTTTTCTTTCTTACGTTTGTGTGCCAAAATTCACTCAGCACTCAAAGATTTGTACCAAAACTTCTAATAAAGTTGTTTTAAATTATTACTGTCTTGCTTCCATAAATTATTTCTAAAATGTAAAATGACAAAGAAGTAATGAGGGTACATGGGACCCAGATGATAAATGAAGATCATTGCTCTAAACACAAAACAACTCCTATCTTAGTACCTACACAGAGATTAAAGGCACATTAAGTCCTCAAGAACGGTCAATTAGTTAGTAATACATATCAAAAGCTTCCCTTTTTTGACTGAACTCATGATGCACAATTGGATGATCAGAGAAGTCAGCAAAATATCTGCTGTTAGAGCACCAAGGGAATATGCATAATTAAAGATAAATTACATAAAGCACAATAAATAATCAAATATACTATGTAATATAATATAGTATAAATAATCAAAAATAAAATATTAGAGGGTTGTACTATTCAGTCCCACTTTCCATCACCACTCCCCCGGCCAGGGAGAGGAGAGGGGCTGGGAGTTAAAAAATCTCCAGTGACCAACGACTTAGTCAATTGTGCCTGTGTAATGAAGCCTTCACGAAGACCTAGAAGAGCAGGGTTTGCAGAGCTACCGAGTTTGTGAAAGCGTGGAGATTTGGGGACAGCAGCAGACTCAGAGAGTGAGAAAGTTCCTACCCCTGCCCCACACTTTACCCCATGCACATCTTCCATATGGCTGTTCCTGAGTTATATCCTTTTATAATAAACTGGAAACAAAAAAATGAAGAAAAAATAAAGTATCTGCTCTTACAGCACTGATGGCATATGTGTAATCTTAACATAAAACAGCTGCCTCATTAAGAAATATGATTCATAACTCACTCCTTAGAAGGAAGATAATGGCCCCATCTTACACAAGCTACTTATTTTACCTGTGCATATTAGTATTTTAATAAGCATGTAAATGGAGAATGTAAATTTAAATTATTGCTGCAAAAAGAATAAAAATTTGAAAAATTGTGAATGCAATTTAAATTAAATATATCTATTTAAAGCCTGGGAATCAGTGATCTATATGTCTAGCTCAAGAAGTTAGAAAAATAGCCCTGGCCAGTGTAGCTCAGTTGTTTGGAGCATCGTACTACAAACCTAAAGGTCGCAGGTTCCATTCCTGGTCAGGACACACACCTAAGCTGAGCATTTGAGACCTTGCTTCCTGGCATGCCATCAGTTTGGCTCAAATAAACTCATAAAAATTCTCTACCAAAAAAAGGGAGGAAGGAAGAAAGAAAGGAAAAGAAGAAGGGAGGAAGGAAAAGAAAGGTTGTCAACATTGAGGCCATAGACACTAAGAGGAGGATATTCCTATGAATAACTTAATGCCAAAAAGTGGAACATTAGATAAAAGGACTGTCTGAGAAAAAGCACCACTGAACTATTAAACTGAATCTGTAATTAAAAGCCTCCCCAAACACAAAAAACTTTCAGTTCCCAATGAATGGCTTCTATTTCTTACACAGAGCAAAGGACCCCTCTCAGCATATCCTACGAGGCCAGCATAACCTCAACACAAAAACCTGATGAGAAAGGAAAATTACAGGTCACCCTCTCACAAAAAGATATGTTTTGTCTATATAGACTGAAATGATTGCATGACTTCTCTCTTTAAGTCTGTTAATGAATCACTCTGATGTTTACTGTGGCGGGGAGGGGACTACAACATAAAAGTGCCACAGCGCTATTCCTTCCCTACCCCTGTTGTTAACTATCTGTTATGTACCCCTCTGGCCCCGAAAACAAAAGTCAAAATGGTTTTCATCAGATCATTTTCCTGAAGTAAGGAAAGTCATCGGATAGCTGAGTTAGAAACTTAGAAAGTCTGGAGCTGATAACACAGCAAAGCACCTGTTTCAGTCATGAGTTTCTGTCATTCTCCTAATGGAAACCCCCTTCGAATATTGAACAATGTCCATGAATGTGTCATATTTGGAGGGTTTTTTTTATAGTAACTTAAAATCCCTCATATAGTATATTTCTCCAACTGTATCAGTTCATTACTTTTAAAAAGTAATACGCTATCGAACCTTGCCGGTGTGGCTCAGTTGGTTAGAGCCTTGTCCCATAACCAAAGGTTGCAGGTTTGATTCCGGTCAGGGCCCATACTCAGGTTGAGGGTTTGATCTCCAGTCTGTCTAAATACAGGAAGCTACCAATCAATGCTTCTTTCTTACATCGATGTTTCTCTCTCCCTTCCTCTCTCTCTAAAAGCAATGAAGAAAAAACAGAGTATATGCAACCACAAATAAACACATCAAAAGTAATTTTCTGAATGTGGAAAAGTATTCTTATTAAACACCAAACTCAAGACCTAAAAACAGGGTGGAGTGGGGCAGAGAGATGAAGACGTCCGTCCACAACTGTGCTCACAACTGGAGGCACGGGGTGGGCCAGGGCGGCACCTCCTGGAGCTGCTGCTCTAACTGGTGTGCCTGGGCTTTGAGCAGCAAGGCCTCCCGCTGCGCTGCAGTGCTGCTGTCTTCCCTGCTGAAGGCTGCTAGTCAGCTGGACTATTACAGAGCCCCACGCAGGTATCACCAACTCTAATTCCTACTACAAAAATTAGTGCAAACAAAGCAATTTCTTTTAAAGATCACATGCAACTGAGTGAGAAGAATGAAGGCTGAAGTCAGACATAAGGCACACAGAGCTAAGGCAAAAGCCAGGGTGCCCAAAGCCCCACCAGATACGGCTGCTCCCAGCACAGAGCTAATCCAGATCCCTACCTCCCAGCAGTGCCAAAAAGACTAAATGGAACGCACACACAGGAACAACCACATCTGGCACAAGTTGAAAAAATAAGTAAATGTCAGTCATGTTAATTCTACGTAAAAATGTAATTGCTTTCATTTCTTTTTATTGTAAAAAAAAAAAAACCTAACACCTTATCATACATGCCACTGCCAGGTATCTTAAAAGTAAAAGACACATAAAGAGAACTAAAATAACATGAATCTTTGTGCAAAATAACACACGTGTGTTATTTCACAGTTTCCTTTTACAGACAGTTAGCATTCTGAAGTGCCACTGCCATGCTGTGAGATCTGATCCATTACTGCTCACGCGAATAATCAGCACCCTTCTAACCCATATCCCTGTCCGATGATGGACATAAAATGCAATTTTATTTTAGTAACAGACTGAGCTGAGCATAACAAGAAAGGTAGATCTACTGGAAGTCTAATGGATTCCAAAACCCAGACAGAAAGAACTCTGTACCACAGCTCTCCTCCACCCCTTAGATGCTTTAGGTAACTCAGACATGACTGGCCTTCCACATTTGAGAAAA